TGGGGGTTCAGTGCCTCTTCATCCACAAACACAGAGCCACATATTTTCTAAAAAAAAGATTTTCTTCAATAACCTAGTACAGTTATCAAGACTGGGAAATTTCACATCGAAACAATACTCATATCTGACCCAGTGACTAGGGGGACCCTGATACCCGAGCAGGTTGCCATGACAACAGATGCAGGCAGCCAGATCAGCAGGCAACTGCTCAGAGGAGGGGGCCCAGCGGGGAGGCGGAGGCCACCCCAACCAAACTTGGGGGAGGTTAGGGTTAAGAGTGCTTTGGGAACCACAGAGAGTGAAGTTCCTTCTGGTCCTCTTAGCTCAATGGTTGTGGGGGAGAGATTAAGACTTAAAATATGTTTTTTTGAGGAGACACAATTCAACCCAGTCCAAGCAGAGTCTAAATTCCTGGGGCCATAGGGTTTGGATGGGCAAGGCAGCAGGCCTCTGATTTGCAGTTATAATAAGCCCACGTCAGCCATCTCCAAGTGGCCCCTCGCCCTGTAGGCCCTCCATGACTGCTCCGTGCACACGAAACACCTCCCTTTGCTCCATCCCTCATGCTTCCAGGGCCATGGTCTGCCCACCAGCCTCCTTTTTGCTTGTGGACTAAGCCTGGCTACTGTTTGGGAATCCACTCCCCACCCTGTGTGACTTCTGGGAAGCCTATCCAACCTGAGTGCTGAAAATCCTTATTGATGTCCCACCCCTTTGCTGGAGACTGGTTTATGTGTGGACATTGGACTTCCTCCTGGCCAATGAAATGTGAAGGAGAGTTGTGGAGGCAGCATCTAGAGACCTCTGCATTTGGTGGCTCATGACCCCTTTCACAACGTGGAATCATTCTTCATGTTATCATCTCTTGTTCTCTCTCTTCTGCCTCCTGCTTCCACTTATAAAGGCCCTTAGGCTACATTGGTACCATTTAGATAATCCAGGTTCATCTCCCATCTCGAAATCAGCCAATCAGCAACTTTAATTTCATCTGGAACTTTGATTCCCCCTTGATACATAACAAAACATATTCACAGGTTCTTTAGGTGTTGTTATTCTGCTGACTACAGAAGTTTCCTTTGTTCCTAAGAGGGAGGCCCAGGAAAATGGTCCCTTTCTGCCTATGGCCATTGCAGCTTCATGATGAGATGTCTGGAGCAGCGGCAGCCATATTGGTGCCCATCTGAGGATGAACACAATGCAAAAGTAGGCATAGCCAAAATAATCACAGAGCAGCAGAGTGGAGCCCAGGAACCTCTTTTGGGAGGTCATAACACATTGCTTCTCTGCTTAAGCCCGTTAGAGGCAGGATTTTCAGTTGCCTACTGCAAAGGTACCTACAGTGCAGAATGCCAGCTGCTTCTTAGATGCTCTGGAAATAGAATGACAGTCTTTATCTGTGTGTGTGTGTGTGTGTGTGTGTGTGTGTGTGTGTGTATGTGTGTGTATGTAGACTACATTTCTCAGCTGCCTTGCAACCAACCATGGCCCCATAACCCTGTTCCAGCCACTGGAATGAGAGCAAGAGTGGCTGTGCCTTCAAAAGTGAGAAGTGCACAAAACCTGGAAACCACCCAAATTCTATGAACAGTGGAATGGCTAAAACAATCGTGGTATATGCCCTCAGTGGGACGCTGCCCCATGGTGACAATGAACATAGAGGAATCTCACACCGTTTTGGGCTAAAGAAACCACACAGAACAAGCTCAATATGAAAAAAATTCCATTTTATATAAAGTCGAAGTCAGCCAGAATAAACAATGCTCTGAGAATGCAGGACAGCGGTCGCCCCTGTGGGGGACGGGGAGGGGAGGCAGAGGGGCCGGGGGCTTTGGGGCTGGTACCCGGCTGTGGTCTGTTGTGCAAAGTCCTGCACTTGGGGTACGTGGTATCTGACACCAAAAAGGAAAAACCTTCCAAAAGGACAGGGAGCAGCCTCTCCTCCCCTCCATCTCGAGCTGGCCAGGGGTGGGCTGCAGGGACCCAGACTTTTGTGAGAACGAAATTCTCCTGGGTCTTTGCTGCAGCCATGAAACCACTTGCCTCTGTGGGAGAAAAATAGTTTCCCCCTCAGGGCCTGAGAAATCAATCACGAGTGTAGTGCCCTTTTCAGAGCCGAAGTTTCTTAAAAATGAGGGAGAGAGATGTGCTATTTTAGACAAGAGCAGATGGTGCGCATTTCATCCCACTGTTACTAATTGGACGTACCACGCCGGGCCCTACCTCTGTGAGCCGTTCTCACTCAGAGACCCTGGGCGATGTCCGGGGCCTCTGTGGTTGTCACCCTTGGGGATGCTCCTGGGACCAAGTGGGTGGGGCCAGGGCTGTTGCTGGGATCTCCACAGTGCCCAGTATGGCCCTCCACAGAGAACTGTCCAACTGCCCGGAGTGCCTACATGGAGAAACCCTGCTACGCGTCAGAGAACACGCAGCAGATGGAGAGGCCCCACGCCACCTCCAGGGCTCTTCTGAGAAGCAAGACACCGTCCACCCCCTTCTCAGACCCCACAGGCCTTGCTGGGTCCCTCTGTGTCTCCACCACCTGAGTGGGGGGTAGGTGATGGGTCCCCAGGCCCTTTTCCAGGACCCCCATGTGGGCTCACCCCCAGCTCCTTCACCCCTTGCATTGTTTTTTCCTCATTGCTTTTAGAGGGAGAGAGGGAAATATGATGCAAGAGAGAAGTATCTGTTGGTTGCCTCCTGTAGGCACCTGAACCAGGGATTGCACTCACTGGGACTAAGGTGGCATGCGCCCCGACCAGGGGAATGGGGATCGAACCTGCAAACTAGGTACGTGCCCTGACCAAGGATCAAACCTCAGCCTTTCAGCTATGAGATGAGGCTCTAACCAATTGAGCCACACTGGCCAGGGCACCCCTTGCATTTTGGGAGGACGGATTTGGTCTCAGTTAGACAGCAGGGCAGGGAAGCTTTATGTGTGGTTTTCACTCTTTGCATTTCCATACGAACAGGACTGTGCTTGGAATTCAGCCCTGGAGGGTCTGGTCCTGAGTCCTTGTTTCTGCCTCCACTGAAACACCTCTTTCCTGGAGGCAGGGAGGGCAATGGATCGATCAGCTTTTGCCACACACAAAAAAAAATGCCCTCTGACCAAGGGCTTTTCAGTATGGGCTTTTCCCATACTGAATTTTGCAGACACTGAAATTTGTAAATGCTGGGGGCCTCGCCAGAGGCAGCCCGACGCTCCATGCTGTGCAATCTTGGGCAGTGATTTGGCCTCACTGGGCGCCATGGGGATGACAATACCGAAATCCATCTCAGAGGACCGCCTTTTGGGAGGCTTCAAGACTAAGGGGAACAGCACAGGCAAAGGGGCCTACATGCCCTTGAGAGGGGCGACCTCTTTTGGCCGCCCTGCAGTACTGCTGTTCCTTCCCAACGCCTGCCGAAGATAAAATCATTTGAGGTGTTTGCTGAAATCTCGAGGGGCAGACCTGTTCTGGATGCAGGCATGCCAGGCAGGAGCAAGACAAGCACGATCCCCGCCCAGCTAAAGCCGGTACTCTAATGCGGTAAAAGGACAGTTACAGATGTGAAGTAGAGTAAGATCGTGGGAAATGCTGTGGAGCACCACCAAAAAGTCCCCATGGATTCAGGTAGGAAAACTCATACCCTGCTTCAGGTGAGTGGTCAGGGAAGGGTTTTTGGAGGAGGTGATGTTCAAGGTGAACCTTGGAGGACTCAGCCGCATGAAAATCGAGAGGTGGGCTCACTGCAAAATGATGAGATGAGCCTGGTGGGGACGCGGGGTCTGACCAGGCCAACAGGAGGCCAGTGTAGCAGACGTCAGGCGTTCTCCCTCCAGAGGACCCCGCGGGACTACCGGGATGCTTTGACAAACACTCAGGGCAGGATCGTTGCATAACAGACAGCCCCAAATTAGTGGCTTAAAATAATGAAGACGCATTACTCCCCCCTGCTCCTGCATCCTGGGCTGGGCCCAGCAAGTTAGCTCTCGTTCCGTGTGGTGTCTGCTGAGGCTGGAATGCTGGAGTGGCCTCTTCCCTTGTTGTCTGGGAAGCCGCCTCCCTCCCCCCACAGAAGTCTCCAGGTTGCCAAGTTCACAGGCTTGGCAATGCCACCAAAGACCCAACATCAGCTCATCATCCTCAGACTAGCAGGTATCATGGTCATGATATAGTTGCCTGAGCTCTGGACACCACAGACAGTCTAAAAAAAACCCCCCAAAACAAAAAACCCCACACAAGAGGAGACAGGCTTCTTCCTTTTGTATCCTTGCGGTTTCCCCCTCAGGTCTCCTACATCAATCAGTCCTGAGAAAGTGACAGAAACCCTGGTGACTTAGGACCACCAGCATTGCTCCTTGATCTGAGCCCAGACGGGGCCTCTTACTAAGAAGCAATGAAGGAGGAAGTCAGGTCTGTTCTAGCACTGAGCTCTGCTCCTAACTTACCTGTTCATTCAACAGTTCTTCCTGAGAGCCTTCTGCGGGTGGCTGCCGTTCTGGGTACCAGGACACGCGGAGTGGGACGGTCTCAGGCCCTGGTCCAGAGAGGTGACTTTCTACAAAGCAGAGTAGAAAACAAGTAAGTCAACTTGTTTCAGCTGCTACCAAACACCGCAGAGAAATCAAACAAGATGTTGGGATGCAGAGACCCAGGATTGCGGCTGCCTTCCTGAGCGGGAGCTGGCCTGGGATGTGTGTGGGCAAAGGGTTCAGGCAGAAGGACTAGGAAGTTCAAAGGTCCTGCAGAGGGGAACATACCTGGCATTTTCATGGACCAGGAGGGCAGAGTGACAGGAGAGGGCAGATGAGGGGCTGAGGTTGCAGGAGTGAACTTGCCCCACAGGATGTGGTGGAGGCCACAAGCAGAGCTTCGACAGTACCCAGGTGATGGGCACCTGCAGAATGGAATGTGGATGCTGAGAATGTGGGCGGGCCATTCTCCTGTTGCCTGGTGATCACAGACTCATTGGGTGTGTTGGGAGCAAGGCTGAGAGGCTGGGGAAGGGCCTCCTTCATGGGGGACCATCGGCAAAGTTCGCTGCTCAGACACCGTACCTCGGAGGTCGAGGGCGGGTCAGAAGGGGGGGGATATGACGACACCCTGAACCTCCAGAGCACGGGATATGAGACCCTAGGGTCCCAGGATCCCAAAGACCAGGACTTAAATAATGGGGAGCTGGGATTCGAAGACCAAGAAGAGGAAATTCCCCCTGAGGAGGTGTCCGAGGAAGAGTTCCTGGATGCCCAGGACCCAGAAGAGGCCCCCACAGAGTTGAAGAGTATTCCGAAGAAAGAGGAGGAGGACGATGTACCGGAGATGAGGTTGGCAAGGGGTGGGGCTTACACAGGCTGGGGTGGGGCCCACGCGCTGGGGAGAGAGTAGCATCTCCATGCCCACCCCATGCGCCCGTGGCCTTGGTGTTGTCGCTGCTGGAGCCGGTCTCCCCGGGGTCCATGTAGTCATTCTAGGGTGAGGGTGTTAGTTGGGTTAGGCGGCACCCTCACTGGCCTCTGAGACCAAGTCGGCAAACATGTCCAGGTTGCAGGTGGGTTATAGTGGAAAACCCTATGACAGCGCCAATCTGGAGTTGGAAAAAGTTCAGATGCCAGAGTTGAGAGGTCAAGAAGGGTGGTCCTCACTTAGGGAGAAAGGGAAATGGGGAAAATCACCCAGCTCAGAAGCTGCAAGCATTCCAACCACTGCAAATTGCAGAAATGTCTAAGCTGGCTGGGAGAACATATTCTGGATGGACTGAAAGCTGGTGAATCGAGCATTTCTGGAGTGATTTTTTTGGAAATGAGTGACACCCTGGAAACAGCCAAGTATCCCCTGGCAGATTTAGTGTGTGTGTCCCTCCCTCCCTCTACTGGGCCACGTTCCGGGCTCTTCTGGACAGTGACTGGCCAGGCAGGAAGGAGTCCAGTGGGTCAGCAGGAGCTGGCTGCTGCCCACTCCTTCGGCAGCCCTCTTCGTGAGCCGTGCTGCAGGTGGACATCTGCTGGCATGACCTGTGATGTGTCTGGAGGTGTTGTGGGGGAAATGGTGCAGGGCAGTGATGGGGGCCCAGGGAGGACATTTGAGTCCCTGGCTGCAGGGAGTGAGGAGAAGACCCTGCCTCTCGGTGGTCTGAGGGCTGCCTGGGGCCTCTCTGTAGCCCAGTCCCACTTGGGGCCTGGGTGCACGTGAGATGAGAAAACCTCTTATGTAATTACCTCCACCATCCTGTGAGGTGGGGGCTGCTCTCTGTTCCCTTGTGCAGAGGAGGGGGCGGGGCCACGTGGCCAGAGTCACGCATCTGGCTGCTGATGGAGTGAAGATTGCAGTCCACATCTTTTGCTGCCAGAATTTGGCCCCAGAGCGGCCCCTTTGTAGGGTGAGGAGATTTGGGGGACAGGGGATCAAAAAACCAGCAACTCTAGCCTCACCACCCAACTCTTCCCAAAGCCGGCTGTCCATCACTCAGAGGTTCCCCGGCACCTCCATGGTAAGAAGGAGGAAGAAGAGGAGGAGGCTTTCTGAATTGGCAAAACCCAAGACCAACTGGCAAGTCCTGAAAGACAGGTGAGGGATATGGGCAGTCTTGCTGGAGGCAGGGATGGGGGTCCGCAAGGAGGACAGCAGCCCCTGGGGATCCCATCTATTTCGTACATAGTAAGCACGGGGTGAAAAGCCAGGGTGCCAACAGTGGGGACGTGGGGGGTGCAGTGGCCGACGGTGGCCTCTGGGTGCCAGCCCAGGAGAGAGAGGCATTTGAGCACATGGGAGCTGCAGAGCAAGGCAGGGGCTGGGCTGTCTCACCGCAGGATGGGGTGCTGCTGTAAGGGCTATGCCTGGATCTCCCCATGCATGAGGACCTTGCAGTTCTGTGTCTACTGGTAAGTCCCAGGGTGTCTCCTCTCACCATCTCCTGCCCATGTTGGGGGGAACAGCCAGGCCCCAGGACCTTTTCCTTAGTTACACCTTCTTTCCCAGCTTCCCACTTCTTTGAACCTCAGCCTCACTCAAAATAATCTGTATTTCCCCATGACTCTAAGATTTTCTCCCTGGGCCCCTCTCTGACCTGCTCCTCTCTTGAGCCTCCTGTTCTCTCCTGCTTTCCTCTGGCTGCTCCACCCTGTCTTCCTCCAGCTGCCCTGCCTCTGCTTCACTGTCTTTCTGTCCGTACATGTGTCTGTGTATATGGGGTACCCCGAGTTCTGTTTCAGAGCAGGGCGCAGGAAGCCTCTGCCCTGGCTTCCCTCGCCCTGAGCCACGCCTGGGTGCCTTCCAGGCCATCCGTGTACTGGACAGAGAAGTTTCTGGAAGACCCCACTCTCACTGTCACCATGCCTGGTAGGTTGAGCCCACCTTCCACCTCCACTCCTCTGTTACTGGCTGCTTGGCTCAGGGGTTGGCCAGAGGTGGCCCTTGTCCCAGGCTCCTGGTGTTGGGTCATCCCCACCTCACCCAAACAGTGCCCTGCTCCGAATGGGGAGACCTCAGGGGCTCCCCTAGCCCTGATGCCCCTGGGAGTCCTTGTGGCTCCTCCCCTTCTTCTGTCTCCCAGGAGTGTCTGCCCCCCACCATGTTCAGAGGGCTCATCTCTGGACTGTACCCCTCAAGGAGCCAGAACCAGCTGGCAGCTGATCCTAGGGGTGAGGGATGTGGGGCAAATCCTCCAGAGGAAATCTCAGTTTGCACCACAGTCAAAAGGGGGTTAGTATTAACTTCACAAAAAGCCTTCTTTCTTCCCTCTCACAATGGTTTCTACCCTTTTTTAGAGCACTGGATTCCTTCAAATAAAATACTTCAAGAAACCTCATTATTGTAGAGAAGTAAATGACACAGTGAACACAGCCCCTGGAAACCCTAGGCCTGTACAAACTTCAGACCAAAATCTACTTTCCCAACCAGGGGGTTGTGGGAGCCACATGAACCCTGTCCAGGAACTGACGGGCCTCAGCTCCTGTTTCAGCCCCACCACTCCCATCCTGTGTGCTTGAGTAAGGGACTTCAGGCCTCTGAGCCTGTTGCTTCCAGAGCAGGGACAGCAAAAGTCACTCCTCTGCAGTGTCTGGTGCTGAGCTCTCTGGGCCCATAGTTCCTCACATCATGCCTATTGCTCTAGCCCAAAGAAAGCTCAATTTAGTAGGAAGAAAACCCCTGGGGGGTGTGATGCGGACACCAGCAAGCAGTGTCCGTGGTGTTGTGGCTGAGACAAGGCAATTCACACGAACTACTGAGTCCTGTGGAGGAAAAGGGATGGCACGGCTGCTCTCTCAAGAGGAGAGCGCACCAACCCTTGCCTTGACAAGCTTTTATTGCTTTTCTGGGCACATTACCTTGAGGATACTCTTCATTTACTATGCACAGGTTCACTTTAGGTGGTTACCTTTTACAGAAAACAAAGGAGAGGATGTTGCTAATTACATCACAGAAGAAGGATATTTGCAAATGCAAAGGGAAAAGTGGTTGAACTGGTTATACTCTCCTTGGAAGGTTTAGCATAGATTTTAGGAAGTTACTTTAAAGATATGCAGTAAATGTTTGCTGCCTCAATTCAGGGTGAGGGAGTCTGAGCAAAAAGCAAGTCTGAAAGCAGCTTAGGTTCCCCAATGGGAGAACAATGCTGGCCTGATACCCCATGGGAGAACTGATCCATGGGCGTGCGTGGGTCCTGTGCACCGGACCTCGATTTCTACTAGCCTTTCGGAGTGGGAGCTGGGCCCAGGCCACGTAGGACATTCTCCTATAGTTCCCCCCTTATTTTCATTTAGGACCACTATAGATCCCACAAAGCTTGCTGCTTGCTGGTCTCTCACAGGACCCTGGGAAAATAATTTGCAAATGCATCAAAGTACACAGAGCATTATTACAATCAGTAAGCAACCAGCAGCTCCAAAGACCCAGATTCTCAGATTAAGCTCATCAGTCTTTGTCAGGCAGTAATGATCAAATACTAGATAACATTCAAAGAACTATGAGCAGCCCTGGCTGGTGTAGCTCAGTGGATTGAAGGAGGGCCTGCGAACCAAACAACTTCAGTTCTATTCCCAGTCAGGGCACATGCCTGGGTTGCAGGCCAGTTCCCAGCAGGGGACACACGAGAGACAATCATACATTGATATTTCTCTCCCTCTCTCCTTCCCTTCCCCTCTAAAGATAAATAAATAAAATCTTAAAAAAAAAAAGAACTATGAGGGCTTATTAGAGTCAGGGTCAGATAGCTAAAGGGCCATAACACTTTGGGAAAACAAACTCATTTCAGGCTTGGACCCTTATCATTTAAATTGAGGGTATTAGCAAAGCAGGTTTCACAGGATTTTATGCGTTCTTTCTTTGGCCTGGTTGCCCCGGGGAACCTGCCCTTTCCAGCACAGGGCTGCACCCACCTCCAGCATTGTTTCAGGCTTAGGTCAAGCAGGGGAAGTAAGGCAGCCAAGAGATTAGAAGATTTCTTGCAGATGGAATGAGGACTAAGGCTGTATCAAAGCTGAGGGGGAGGGTCCATCACCTCCTTTTTCTATAGCTCCCAAGTCCTTCCTTGAGGGACTCCTTGTGGCCATGCCTGTCTTAGGTCTTCCCTCCCTTGAGGAATCTTATCCATTGTTGGCTAACTGGTCATGCACTGGGGGCCAGGCAGGGTGAAGTAAAGTGGGCAGAGGCGGTGCTCCTGCCCGGGAGATAAACTTTGTCTCCTCAGTGGCTTAGGGTCCCAAGGTCTCTCCTTTAGCCTTAGCCATGGGGGGTTACAGCTTCTAAAACCAGGCAGGGTGGTTCCCAACAGGAGTGGGTGTGTTTCAAGTTGGGCTGTTTCCCATTTGTGTAGCAGTGTCCCGCCGAGTGGAGGAGCTGGCTCAACCTAGAAGGTTCTGCTTGGATTATTACAGCAACACTAGGTGAGGAGAGGAGGGTTGGGTGAGCACGCTGAGGACAGAGTTTGGCAGAAAACCTTTCCCTTTAATTGAAATGGTATAGCTTGGGGAGTGTTCAGTTCCTGAGACTAGATAACCCAAGTCCACACTGGATGCCTGCAGGCAGGCCCTTGACCTTGGAGGGTCTTCATTCTCCACCTGCAGAACAGATGGCAGTAGAGAACACATAAAGTATACTTAGCACAGTACCTGTCAGAGGAAGTGCTGAGTAATGTCACTTATCACCTTCATGGGTTTTGTTGACTCTAAAAGCTAGTAATTGTAAGAGATTGTTAGTTTATGTACAATTAATGAATTAATTCTTTGTTATCATTTAGAACTCTCATGCTTGTTACAACGGTGAGGGGGTTTGGTTGGAGTGTGGAGGGCTTGAGCAAAAAGGAAGAAAGAGAGAGAAAACTCATGGACAGGGACAACAGTGTGGTGGTTGCTGGGAGGAATGGGGGATAAGTCGTGATAGAGAGAGACTCGACTTGTGGTGTGAACACACAATACGGAGTGCAGATGATGTGTTGTAGAATTGTGCACCTGAAACCTGTAGAATGTTGTTAACCAGTGTCACCCCAATAAATGCAATAAAAAGGAAAAATGATCTTTGGTGTTATTTGGACATAACTTTTAATTACTTATCTCGATGCATGGCCTGATGTCATAGGTGTCCTGTAGGGGCCAGTAACACAGCCTCTCAGTTCACTAAGCTGGGCCCTTGAGGTGCAGCCTCTGCCCCGTATGGGCTGTGTCTCCCTCTTCTTGTTGCAGTGCCTCGATTGCTGTTGGCACATCCATAGGAGGAATTCATCCCCAGGCCTGTCAGTCTCTGGCCACCATGGAGGACATACTGTGCAGGGGCCTGCTTGTGAACAATGTTGGGTGGTGGTCCTTCAGCTCTCTGGGTGAGGAGCGCTGAAACTACCCACTGGGTGTTCTGGGCTAAGTCCGTCACCATCTGTGTTTTGCAGATGGCTGCTGCTTGTGCTGGGCTTGAAGGTGCCTAGGTGAGGCCAAGTTGTGAACCAAGGCTGGCTGCTGCTAGTCTCAGGCCTGGGGGTGCTTAGGGTGAGATAGGGGGCTTGCTGAGGCCAGATGCTGGTTGTTTCAGAGATTTTAGGAAAATCTGAAGCAGGCCCCAAGATAGGTCATTTGCATGAAAAAGCCACTGGAAACAGCTTGGGTGGGCCCACAGTTGGGTTGAGTGGGGCCTCAAGGAATCACCAGGGTGGGGCAAACAGTGTGAGCCAGGTTGGTAGAATCTCAGATATGGCGCCACTTGCTGGTTCTGTGGGAAAAAGGCTCATGAAAGGAACAATGACCTCTGCCAGCACATCTGTCTGGGGGAAAGCTGCCCTCCTCTTTGTTCTCACTCTGATGTCAGACAATTCAGGTCCTCCCCATATGTCTCTGGTGTCTTTCAAGCTGCTGCCCAGAGCAGGAGCGCAGAGGGAGTGAGTCTCAGTAATTCTGTGCATGGGCCCTTTAAGAGGAATTTCTGGGATTCCAGAAGCCCTCCATCTCTCTCAATCTCAATCCCTGCTAGTGTTTGCAGCCAGAAGTTATGAGAATTTCTCTTCCTGGCATTGGAACCCATGGCTGGGAGCCCTGGGGTGAGGCTGGGACCTTTTGCTACTCAGGAGGGACCTCTGCAACCAAGATGTCCTTCCCAATTTTTATCTGCCACAAGTGGGTGTGGGACCAGCCTGATCCACATCTCTGCCCCTCCTACTAATCTCAGTATGGCTCCTTTAATTCCCTCCTTGTAGGACTTCCATTCAGCAGATTTCAGGTGGTTCTGAACGATGGTGTGTCTGTAATTTAGTTGTAATTTTGAGAATTTTGTGGGAGGAGGCAGGTACCACGTTTATCAACGCCATCACCTTGACAGGAAGTCTAAATCATTTTTTGATCCAGAGATGCTGGCATGTTCCACACACTGTTTTTGTGAAAATAACTTTTGCTTTAATGCTGAACATAGTGTAATCTGACGGTAATTTAAACTGCAATTAGACTTAATATCTGTAAAGCCAAGAACGCACACAGCTTGACCGAGGTTACTTCAGTGAGAACAGCTACATCCACACACAGACGAGGATGACTGTGGAGCTTCTGATGTCCAGCTGGCAGGATTTATAAGCTGCATACCGACCTCAGAGATGTGATGATATGAGAAATTTGCCTTAGATCGAGGAAACGCAGCTTTATTTCTGGAGCAGAGGCCTAGCTGAGACCTGATTTTAGGAGGCGCGGGCTCAGCAAATCCAGTGGAAGTGCGCTGTCCCAGCTTTCTGTGACAGCTGCTGGATATAAACTATTATCCCTGTGTTCAAATCTGGACCCATGCCCTGATGACGGGGGTGTGGGGAGAAAACCCTGGGGGGATGACCTCGGGACAGTGTTGCCCGGTCTTGAGAACTCACAGAGACTCCTGTTAGGGATTCTTTCATGAATCCCTTCTCGGAGGTGTCTTCCAAAGGCTCCACTTTCCCAGGTTCTCCCTTCTCCCAAGAATCAGAGAGGAGCTGAGAAAGAGATGACACACATCCAGAAATGTGCAGACATGCCCCTCTTTGGCTGAACTAGTGTCTCAAATGCGGATGTCTCCTAGGATTATCCCCAGGCATCGCATTTCTCCGTCTACCTTGGACTACCAATCACCTAGCCGCCTGAGGGAACTGGCCACCCCGAGGATCCGGAACAACATTTGGAGCATAAACATGTCTGAAGTAGGTGCTTCACACTTCGGGGACCCTCACCTCAACGGTCAGGGTACTGACCCCACTCAGTGGGGCTGGGACCAGGGGCCGGACGGACAAGCGGGAACAGACTCCAGAGCAATAGGAGTGTGACTTTGACCAGCTGTATTATTTTCATTTTATACTTTATTATGTACACAGACCCATAAACTACAATCATTGTATTTTTAACATATATATGTGGCATCTTAATTCTTGCTTTTCCTCTCAATATTTGTTTTCTAGAGCACTGCATGCTGATTTCTATAGAAACAACATTTTAACTGCAGGGTCATATTCTATCCCATGAATACACCACAGTTAGCTTGCCCGCTCCCCTCCTGATGGACACTAGGTTGTCTCCAGCTGCAGTGAGCACCAGTACACTCAAATCCCCATGCCCCTCCCCCAGGCATTTCTCTGCATGGCGGTCATCACGTGTGCATGTGCTCAGCTTCACCTGAGAATCACAAACTGCTCTCCAAAGTGCTTATACTCATATTCTACCATCAGCCATGCATGAGGATGTCTCTACCTCCACCCTCCAGGGCTTGACAATGTCAGACTCTCTAATTTTTGCCACGTTTGTTTGCCTGCAGTGATATTTTGTTGTTTTAATTTATATCTCCCTCGTCAACAGAGAGGATTATTGACCATTTAGGTTTACTGTCCTGTATGATTAGCCTAGCCTCCTATGAATTTTTGGGCTATTGATCTAGAGGTGCTCTTTACATATGATAGCTTCCAAGCCTTTTGTTGAACACATTGCAAACTAACAACTTTCTATTCACTCATCTATCTCTTGGTGTTGCTTACGAGGTCTCTTTGATCCAGGGACTCTGAGGAGTTATGGACTGTCTTACTCTTTCCCCTCTCGTTCTGTTTCCAGGTGTCCCAAGTGTCCAGGGCAGCCCAGATTGCCATCCCCAGTTCGAGGATCCTCCAGTTGGCAAAGCCCAGGACTCCAGCCACCCTGCTGGAAGAATGGGACCCCGTGCCAAAACCCAAGCCACGTGTGTCAGACTACAACCGGCTCCTTCACTTGGCCAGTAAGTAGGTCCTTGTGTTTGTCCCCACTGGACAGGGGTGGGGAGGGGAACAGTCAGAAGACTTGGACTTAGGCTCACGTCTGCCAGATAAGTGCTTCCCTCTTCCTTAATCTCCTCCCCTGGCTGCAAACCAGCTGTCAGATTACTGTGGACAAGTGGTATGTTGCAGGCTCCCGGGAGGAAAAGAGGCGGAAGTTAGAGGGGACCGTGGTCCTGCAGCTCAGTGCCATTGGAGTGGGTCTACCAGAAGGACAAGTGGGTGCAGAAGTGAAAGTTGTGGGGACAGGGCTGGGGACAAGGGAGCCAAGCCGAGGTGGAGGACAGCCTGGAACTGGTGTTGGCCTGATTCTTCTCTGTCCTTTAAAACAAATGAAATACTGGGTCCCCCCATGACCACAGTGATGCACACTCACTGTGGGAAACTGGGAAAATGCGGGAGAGCCTAAAGGAGAAAAGAATCCCACCCAAAGCTAATGCAGTTCAGTGTGTTGCATTCTGGGTGTAACGTGGGGTTACACGCAGAGCCACAGATGCATGCAGCGCGTGTGTGCCTGCGAGTGTGCACCTTCCAAGTGCTCTCCCTGCTAGCCCCCTCCTGTCACGCCCCATGTCCAGTGCCCTGAGAACTCCTGTGGGCTTGGCCTTCTGAGCATATTGGGAACCTGCGCTCATCCACGCTCATCTGCTCCTGGGCCAGAGCAGTCGCTTCCACCCTTGTCCATTTCCCGGGTGACAGCCGCAGAGGTCTTGCTGAATTTAAGTTGGGTTCCACCCTTCCCTGCTCATGACTCTCCCAAGGCTCCCGTCTCACTATGTGTGGCCCACAGGCCCTTGGGATCTGCTCCCCTCTGCCCCTCTGCCCCTTTGCCTCCCCAGCCAGGGTCCACTCCTGCTGCATGGAACCTTGACCACAGACACCTGCAGGCTCACTCCTCTGCCTCCTGTACGGTGGTGCTCCAATCAGTCCTCTTGGCGAGGCCTGTCTGAGCTCCCCACTTAACCCACAGGCTGTGCCCACCTCTGGACTGCACCTGGGCTGCTCTCTACACTCTTCTTCTGTAGTGCCTGTTGCATTCTAACATGTGTACTTACTGTATATTTATGTGTCCATTTATCCTTTGTGGTCTGTCACACGCCAGGCCTGCGATGTCAGATGCTTTCAAGACCCTGTGTGTCCCTGCCCCGGGCACACAGCCACCAGAGAGTGCAACTGGCTGTCTGGTTTACTCTGGGCTCTATCGTTTTCCCAGTTTCCGACTTCCTGTGTTTTTGGTTATTCGTTTGGAGCATTAAAAAATTATTTATTTATTTTTTTAGAGAGGGGAAGGGAGGGAGAAAGAGAGGGAGAGAAATATCAGTGTGTGGTTGCCTCTTGAGCACCCCTCATTGAGGACCTGGCCCACAACCCAGGCATCGGCCCCCAAAGGGAATGGAACCGGCGACCCTTTGGTTCGAAGGCTGGTGCTCAGTCCCAGGCTGGAGCATTTCTTCTTATATGTATAAGATGATCACTAATCCTTTGTTGAGAACACTGCAGAATAACTTCTCCCCAGTCCATCTCTTTTCTTTTAACTTTGTTTACAGGATCTTTTGTTTGTTTAATTTATTCACGTATCCATTTCCTTAACACTTATTGAATGATTGGTTAAATGAGTGCAAACATGTGCGTATATCTGCACTGCCACATCTGTTTCTGTCTCTCTCACGGGTACCAGGGACATATAAATGTGCACACATTTGTGCACACGCACTTGTGCGTATACGTGTCCATGTTTCAGATGTACCTGTAAATACACGTTTGTGTGTTTATAAGAACAGAGTCAGGTCATGCCTTTCAAACAGCAAACTCCTACCTGCTAGTGGGTGTGACCAACATTTTACAAAATGAAATGACGACAAATGAAGAGCATGAGTGGTGTGGGTGAGTGTGAGTCCATGTTTCTCTGTGTGTCCACATGTGTGCTGTGTGGCAGTGGACTCAGTCAGCAGAGTTTAAAAGCCCAGACTTATTACAACAGTAGAAATGTTCCAGAATTCTCATGGAAGAGTCCAGAGAAGGCCGAGTTCTGGGCATGGTCTTCCCAGCCCCCCAGGGGACCACTGAGGTCCCCTTCCCTTTTGGAAGGAACGGCCGTCCGCCTGGTGAAGCGCTGGTACAGGCCTTGTCCAGCAGTGGGCCTGTGTGGGCTTGGGCCTGCCTGGAGGAAGGGACCCCACTCTCTTTCATCAAGGGCCCCTCCCCTGAGCCACGGCCTGTCTCCTGAGAACAGGGCTGGGGTGGCCTTTTCCATGTGCACAGAGGCTCTAAACAAAGGAGTTTAAAAAGGAGGCTGCAGCACCCCTCAAGGCCGAGGGTCCTGAAGCTCCCAGACCATGCAGGCTAAGGCAGTGGTCAGCGGTGATCCCTACCTCCCTTCCGGTCCCTAAGCAGGCCACGCGCTGCAGCTTGCTGTAAAGGAAGGGGTGGCAGAGCGGTGGCAGGGAGGGAGTCTGGCTGAGCCACGGGTCTCTGCTCCTGAGATCTGTCTGTCCCTGACAGCAGCCACAGGCCATGTATGGCTGCTTCAGTGAAATTAAAACCAATCAATCATTTGATCTAAATACATTGATTTCATTAAAATTAAATAGAAGAGCCCTGGCTGGTGTAGCTCAGTGGATTGAGCGCTGGCCTGCAAACCAAAGGGTTGCTGGTTTGATTCCCAGTCAGGGCGCATGCCTGGGCTGTGGGCCAGGTCCCCAGTTGGGGACGTGTGAGAGGCAACCACACGTTGGGGTTTCTTTCCCTCTCTTTCTCCTTCCCTTCCCCTCTCTCTAAAAATAAATAAATAAAATCTTAAAAAAAATAAAAATTAAATTAAGTAGAAGAGAACTCCAGCCCGTATCAGGTGCTCCCACATGTGGCTGGGAGGAGCCGCGTCACCGGCACTCGTGAGAGGCCCTGGCTGAGGCTGCAGTCATGTTGGACAGTGAGGGCAGGAGGAGAACGAGGGGAGAGGCTGAGTCTTGCAGGACCAGCCAAGGGGAGGTACTTCCGCAGCCACCGCTTACCCCTTCTCACCACCACGACACCAGAGCAGGGAAGAGAGTGGGAAGGGGCCTACCGAACCCCCTCCTGACCCTAGCCACCAGGACACTTTGGGCCAGCCCTCTGAGTCCCCCCTATGTGGGACGTGGCCATTTAAAATACTTTTTTCCCTTACCATTCACTCTCTCTTTTTTTAATTTTAATTTTTTTTGCAATTCACCCTTTAAGAGAAGTATACAATTCATTCATTATACCCCCATAAAAAATAAAGTGTGCATTCATTGCTTTTTAGTACACTCACAGAGTTGTGTACCCATCACTACAATGGATTTTAGAACATTTTCATCACCCCAAAGAGAAACCCCCTGACCATTAGCAGTCCTTCTCCATCCTGTCAACAGCCCCTGGCACCCACTAACCCACTTCCTGCCTTTATGGATTTGCCTGTTCTGGACATTTCACATGAATGGAATTGCACACCATGTGGCCTTTTGCGCCTGGCTTCTCTCATTGAGCTTCATATGTTCAAGGTTTATTTATATTGTGGCCTTTGTCAGTGCTTCACTCCCTTTCATAGCTTAGTAATATTCCAGTGTGTGGATGGAACATGTGTTTTTTCATTCCTTTCTCAAAAGAGAGGCCACTGAACTTGGGGACTTTGACCTAGCAGGTTGATCTTCATAAGGGGAGTGGCTGCACGTCCAAGGCTCTGGTGCCTTACGCTGTCTCTCTCTCCTGCCCTCTCTAGTGCCCAAGGTCCAATCAGAGAAGTGTGTTCCTGACCGAAGTGCGCGCTGGGAGGTGCTGGAAGTCACCAAGAAGGCGGTGGCCAGTCCCCGGATCATCTCCCTGGCCAAGCCCAAAGTGCGCAAAGACCTCAACGAGGGCTACAACCCCTACTACATTTCCCCAGCTTCCCTGGTGGCTCGGGCATCCCCTCGCTTGTATGAGCTCGCCACCCCCAAAAGCATCACCAAAAAAGTTTGAGTGACCCAGGCCTGGCCTCCAAGGCCCCATTCCCAGTAAACACCCAAGTGCTTCCTAACCTTGTGTGTGGCTGGCTCTAAAAATTTTGGCCTGGAGGAGGGAGGGCAAGCTGGAAGGCCAAAAGATTGATTATAGGAAGAAAATAATAATATTTATGTTCATATCCACCTGTGACTTGTACAGCCCTTTATTTCCCAAATCACTTTCCTCCACTGTCTTGAGTTTCTCTGATGTCACACTTCAGTCTTCCACAATTTCCCCCCAGAATGTCTTAGGTCCAGACTTGTGTGTCTAACTACATGCTGGGTGTCCACAATGACCGCAGACTCAGCATGATCTCCATAATTAAACCAGCCCCGCCCCCGCCTCCTCTCCCTCCTGCTGGTCTAAGAGGAGTACCTTGTCACCACGACCCCGGCAGTATTCTGCTGGCTGACAGATGGAAAAGGAATGGGGTTCTTGAGTCCCCCACCCCCCCAATCCCATTCGTCCCAGTCTCACTAGGAACCACCATCCACTTTTTTGTGCAAGTCAGAAATCTGGGAGCTGGCCTTCACGCCCTCTCCCCCTTCACTCCATCAGGGATTTTGTGGATTGTACCTCCCCAGCTCTCTCCAATTCTCTGTTCCCCGCTACCATTTGAGTCCTGGTGGATATCTGTGCCTACTCACTGCCTCCCGGCTTCCTTACGTGCTCTCTATAAACGTCCTCCCTGAAGCTCACACTTGTCGGTCTGAAATTTCAAATGTAGCAAACCCCTGTTAGCTCCTGTTCAAACTCTCCCCCAGCACCTACCACAGGCTTACAATGTGCAAGTGGTCCATAAATATTTTATGAATTCAGAGCCAAACGCCGGGGGGGGGGGTTGAATTCACCTCTGAAGCCGCCCAGTCAGCACTCTGGCTCCTTGGTATAGGGTCACCACGCTGCTCAAAGCTCCTCGTAAGTTGCATCTCACAAGCATCCCAGTTGGTTCTTCGGCACACTGGATGGATCATCGCTGGTGCAAAACTAAAGTTCAAAAACCACTCTGCCCAGACTTCAGTCCTGGCTCTACCACTTATGCATTGGGTGGCCCGTCATTCCAGGACTTAGTTTCCTTACCAGTTAATAACCGGGTACTAATAATATTTAGCCAACCTATTGGAAGGAGGAAATAGGACAAAAGTTCCCTACGCAGGTGTGGTTATCCAGATTCAGTACTTTTATTAGTAGCATCCTTCATCTTCCAGGCTAAGACCAAGAAAAAGGCCAGGGTCCTGCCAAGACCCTCGAACCCTTGCTTCTCGAGCCCGCCCCGCCCCCTCACTGGTCCCGCGCATCCCAGTCAGCGCACCTACTATGCCCCGCCTGCGCCCCGCCCTTCAAAGGCCCCGCCCTTCAAAGGCCCCGCCTTTTAGGGCTCCGCAGCCAATGAGCCCGCGGCCCCGCATCCGGGGATCCCGGCGCGGCCACCGCCTCCCGCGCACACACACGGCCATGGCGGAGGTGAGTGAGCGGGCTGGGGGAGCCGGCCCCCCACCCCCGTGCACCCGCGTTCTCCGCCGCCCGGCCTCGGCCACATCCGGGCTTTGGAATTGAGACTCCTCCACCCCGAGAATCCGAGGCAGTGCCAGGGAAACCGCGCCCGTGGGGACCAGAGGGGCGCGGGGCTCCTTTGGCAGCCGCCCCCGGCCCTGGCCCCCCCCCCCAGTTCCCCAGCTGCCACATCGCGGGCTACAGTGCGCATGTGCGGGGGCGGTGGCTCGGCGGGGGCCGCGGTGTGGGGAGGGGCCAGGGGGCGGGCAAACGCTGGGTTAGGGGCACTCCTGTGGCTCCTCGCCTGTCCCCAACCCGGCGGTTCTCGTGCCGCCCCTCCTCATCCTTGACCAACTTTGCAGAGCGCTCTCTGGTTCTCCGGTCGCAGCACCGCGAGCTCACACTGCCCACATCCAGCGTGGGACCCAGCGCCGCATCCCGCTCTCTAACCCTCAGGTGCTGGGCACCGCGAATTGGCCCTCCCGCCAGATGCCGGGCGGGATTTGAACTCCTACACGAGGTGTGGGATGCGGTTGGATTTCCTCAGGGCAGGCAGAGTTACACTAGCCTTTACCGGGGGCTCGAAGTTACTTCTTGGAGCCTCTTCTGTCGGTAAAGCAGGCCCAAGACCCCTTACCCGATATCCTTGAGGCCTGATATATTTTGGGATTCAAAGTTTTTTCGATTTGAGTAATTGTGGGATTTGGAACTGTGGTGCTTGATCAAACTCTAGGACCATTTGGAATAAAGAAAGACGTTTAATAGCTTCTTGTCAAAGTAGGGATGAAAAACTTTTACTTTGGGGTTTCTCGACTTTAGAATATTGAGTAGGACCTGTTTGCACCTTCTAGGGCTGTAATGAGGATGAAATGAGGTAGTGCATCTGCTAGGGGCTCAGTATATGTGACGCTTATTGTACGAGGATTCAGTCTGGGGACGCAGGGCATAAGGACACCGCGAAACAGGTCCATAGACTCTGCAAGTGGTCCTTATCAAATGGGTCGGTGGTGCCACTGAGCCCACCAGGGCAGAAGGTACACACCCAGTGAGGCGCAGCAGGTTCGTGGGATATTCGGCCTGGTCATGGACCACGTTGAATGATTGCCTTAGCAGGACATGGGTAGGTGTTGCGGAGGGTGGGACTGGCCATTCTTTCCCACTAGTGGCTTTCTCAGGGGCAACAACAGGCTCTGCATTTGTGCGGAAGACGGTTTGGGCATCTGGGTGCAAAACTAGAACTCACCTGCCAATTTGGGCCTGGCCTTTTGCTGAGTGGGTGCCTGGATCCAAAGGGTTCTTAGAGAGTTAATTCATTCTCTCTCTCGCTCTCTTTTTACAGAGCATTTAGGGAAACAGGCATCGTGGGGGCAGTGGCTGGCCTTGTAGGTTGGAGGCAGAAGCCAGGTCTCCTGATGGCCCAGGGTCATGTGTGGTGTTCTTCCTGGGCACCAGGTGTTTGGGCAGTGCTATTGGCCTGGAAGGTAGCTGTGTGTCATGAGGGAAGGGCCAGACTCCCTAACCAGCCTCCCTTGATTGTTGCTGACTTTGCCTTGTCCAGTGCTGAGCCTCTGGAATCTCACAGCAGCCAGGTGCTCTGGGTGCTCTTGTTACCCCTGTAGACAGTTTGGGCGGTGCCATTTTGAGTCAATTTGAGTTGGTTTCTTGAGAAAGTCTACGTGTGAGGTCCCCTCTGTGCCTGGCTCTGTGGGAGGCCCTGAGGGGTCTGGCTGTGAGTAGAAACCCAACAGTGACCTAAACAGCCTTTAGAGGCTGTTGGTCAGTAAAGGACCAACAGGTGTGCAAATGTCACATATGAGCCGCGGCCAGCCTCTGCCCAGGAGACTTGTGGCTCTGGAACCTCTAATTTTGTGTGACTTCGGGCAGGTTGCTGAACATCTCAGAGCCACAGTTTCCTCATCTCTGAAATGGGAAAAGATGGGAGCCAGAGTCGTATGATATTTGGCTTCAGGGCCTGGCAGAGAGAAAAGGAACCTGGTAAAATCACTGGTAGCCAGCTGTCTGCCAAATGAAAACGGTGCTTGTTACCTAGCAGTAAGTGGTTGATGAGGATTAGTTAACTGCTTTTTGTCATCACCAAGGTAGCCATCAGCACTGGGTCAGTACTGTGAGAGGAGAGGGGGTGCTTGGTAGTGTTTTTCTCAGATACCTAAGTGCATGGGCTCTGCCTTGTGCTTAAAGCCCCCAATGGCTCTTGTTGTTCTTGGGTGTGGCGTACCTCTCCTTGTGATCTCTGACTGTTGGTGTGGCTCCCCACACGTCTGGCCGGCGCCGCGCCAGCCCCCTGGGCTCCTTCCTTTCCTTTGTACTCTGTGCCCTGGAGGGACTCAGTGTTCTACAGCCCCTGTCTAGAGATGCCCTCAGGGGGTTTTCCTGAGCCCAGTTGTGCAGACCCCCACCCTGTTCTCTCCCTCAGCCCTGTACATATCCACTTGTTTGAGATCTGTGTCACCAACTGGACTGGTAACTTGTGGGTGGAGATGGGAGGAACCTGTTTCTGGATTGACTGCTGTGCATGCAGTGCCTGCTGCCTCATCTGGCCCAGAGGGAGTGCTCAGTAAGCACTGGGCAAATGGAGTAGTACAATGCCTGAGTGGCCCAGTGGGACGGACCACGTCCACTGGTGTGGGCGAAGGGTGTTCCAGTATCACCCAGAAACTCAGTTTTTCAAAACAACAATTAGTTATTATTGTCTTTCATAGTTCTGAGGGGTGACTGAGCTCAGCCAGGCAGTTTTCTCTCAGGGTCAGTCATGTAGTTGCAGTTGGGTGGCAGCTGGGGCTGGAGGAAAGCTTTCTTGCTCAGGTGTGGCTGCTGGTGCTAGCTGCTGGCTGGGGCACCTGTATGTGACCTGTCTCTGTGGCTTGGGCTTCCTTACAACATGGCAGCTGGGTCCAATGGTGACTGTCTCTGAAGATTCCAGCTGGAACCTGAGTTGTGTTTCATGACCTAGTCTAGAAGTCACATAGAATCCCTCCCACCAATGTTACAGGCCCAGCCAGATGGACAGGCAGGGTTACAGAGCCCTACCACTTGAAGGGAGGCAGGCATATCAGTGTCACATGGAGAAGAGCATATGGATGCATGTCTTGGAGAATTGGATCTGGCACAGTGTCACTGGAGTGTCACTGGGGTTAAACCTGGAAGGGGGTAAAGTAGCAATTAGATGCAGCCCTGGAAGAAGGGTTGTTGTGCCTGTGAGGGGTCAAGGTCCTTCTCCCGGTGAAACTGGATGGAGCAGTCTTCCTGCTGATAAGCTTATACCTCCTTTGTGCGTAACAGACCTGGTCTGGACAACAGGTTCTGCAGCCTGCTCTTGTTTGGGATCAAGTCTCTGGAATGCTGTCTTCCTTCTTTTCCTCCCCCTACTGTTTTACCCAGAATTCTCTTAGCCAGCTCCCCCTTCTCTTTTTTCCATCTTGACAAAGGGAGCAGTGGCTGCTGGCACTTCAACTCTTGAGAACCAGGGGGTGTAGCCTGTGGGAATCCCACAGTGGGCTTGAACTGGAAATCGGGGCAGGG